TTACAGGGAGTGGATGCCATATATCTTCCCAGTTAGACTTGTCCTCTTTTCTTTTCAGGATCTTCAGTGAGCTAAGTCACAGTCATCAAGTTCTTCCTGGTGTGTCAGCATCCCTGATCTCCAGAAGCTCCAGAGAGCAGTTAGAATATGCATTACTTGATTTGCTTCTCTTCTGAGCAACACAACACAGCAACACTGTTCTGCCCTGCTAACAGCCATGCTTCAAAGTTATATACCTGTGACATTTAAGATTTGCAGGGGTATATACATATTTAAATACCTTACATGCCTGTAAGGATGTGTTGCTCTGACCTTTATGTTATGTACACAAGCTCATATACAATCAGAGAAAATGAGGGCTGTCAGGTAACATGGGACAAAATACAAAACAAGTTTTAATACTCCACTGTTGTTCCCATTTTTACAGAAACAAATAAGGGTACAGAATTGTCAAATAATTTGATAGATGTAATTACTAACCTGGTAGCAGTGATGCTTGATTAATTAATTTGTCAGAGTAGTGACATTGTAGGCACACTAACATAAACACAGAGCTTTGACTCTGAATAAAACTTCTCTGATTAGGTTATTAATGGAAAAAATAAAGGCTGTCTAAATGCTACCTTTGGGGTAATCTTCAAATTTGTTATTTCTAGCCCTTAGGCCACTGCCCTATGTGATTAGTGTTTAATCACAAAAAAATAATCAGGGAAAAGTTCTGCCAGAGATATATAGCATGGTTAATTAATAGTAAACAGACTAAGTCTTCTAAAATATTATTGTTCCACTATAACAATAAACGGAAAGAATAATTGAACGGATGACTAAGTAAATAATTAAAAGTAATAGGCCCAAACTGGCCATGGGATCTCTCTTAAGAAGACCTTAGCACTGATTTAATTGAGTTCCCCCTGAAGCCATCTTTTCTCTAGGATGAACATTTACAGGTCCCTCAGCCTCTCCGCACAGGGCAACTGCTCCAGCAGTGATCATTGTCATGGCTACACTGAACTCACTCCAGTTTTTTAAGGTCTTTCAGGTATGGTGCTGGAGGGGGAAGATGGAGTGCAGTATCTTGGATGTGGTCTAATGAGCAATGAGTAAAGGGAGATAATCATCTATTGACTGTGCTCCGGCTAACACAGCCACCTGACCTTTGCTGCTGCCTCATACTTTGCCATGACTGCAAAGCCAGGTGTCAGGAAAATAACTACTTAATGTAGCAAGTGATGCAAGATGACTTGGTTTTTCCTCAAAATATCAAATCTGGAAAGATGCTGAACATCAGAACATCAGAAACTCTCTTCTGGGATGCTGAAGTCCAGAAACAGACTGAAGTCAATCAACAGAAGAAGAGACATGCAGAACAGTCAATGGCAAGAAATTCAAGCTATGGGTTTAGTTTCCAGAAGCTGCAGAACAAGTTTCCTTCCCATCCAGTGCATCAGCATAAGAAGACATCCACACGCAACAGACTGTTGTCTACTAATTAATTCTGCTTGCAAATGATAGAGTTCCAAGTGGGACAGAAAAACTACTTTTAAGGCCAGTGACTGCTTACATAAAAATACATTAAATAGGAAGAGCATGTCTGTCTGAGTCCAGGACATCCCTCTGGCTGCCCTGGCTGTCTTGATACCCTGGCAGGGGTCTTGGAGACCTTGGCATGAAGTCAAAAACATCTGTGGCTTCGATTTTAGCCTGTGGAAAAAGCTGTATGAGGAATTACAAGCCACAAGGGTTTTAGTACTGTGATATTTGAACTAACACAGGCTGGAAAAGTAGAATTTTGTGGTTTTTAGAATGTAATTCAGGGGTACAAGATGGAGGAATATGGGCTTGTCCTAGCCTTCTTTTCCTTTGTCTTGTCCTCCATGTCTTGGTGTGATGGTGACACTTTTCTACTGCTTCAAGGTGGAGATTCTCAGTCTAACATGGGTGATAGGAATTGGTAATAAATTGTAAACATACTACCCATAGTTTTCAGTATATAAGGTGGGAGCCACCTGAGGCTCAGGGGCCAATGGCCATAGCTTCCTTTCTGGACAGACCTCGCCAGGTCAGAGAAAGAATGTTATAGATAAGAAGAAATAAACAACCTTGAAAACGCAATCAGACACATTCCAGACTCCTTCTTTGGCTGTGTTGGGCTAGAGAAGCAAAGACTCTTTAGGATCTCAGGGTCACCTCGACTTTCAGAACCCCAAGAGGTAATCGACACAGGTGAATTTCAGAGAAAGGAGGAAATACCATAATCAAGTGAAGTAAACCCACCCCTGCAGGGTGATATGTGCCAGAAGATCTGCTTGAACTATTTCACCCACAGTAGGAGTGTAGATGTGAGAAGTTTTAAGGAAAGCATGGAAATCTATAGAGTCCTCCTGTGAATCATAGAATTTATTTAGGTTGGAAAAGACCTTTAAGATTATTGAGTTAAACTGCAAACCCAGCACTGGTAAGTCCACCCCTGAACTATGTCCCTAAGCACCACATCTACGTCTTTTAAATATGCAGAATTTTGTACATGGAAGAACTCCTGCATTCAGTTTTGCTGAGAATTAACACCTCAGAGTGAAGTTAATCACAGGTGTAAGACTTGCCATTGAGTGGAGACAGGAAATGGAGGAGACACAAAAGCAGAATCAAACTGCTAGTGTTTCTATACAATGGCATTTATAAGAGTAGCTGACGGAATCTGTGGTTTTTAAATGATTCCAAGATTGTAGAAAGTCTCTGTCATTCAGCCCCGCTGCCAAAGAAGAAGTTGTAATTCATCTGTGCTGGTTTTCGTTGGTTGTTTATTCTTGCTTATTTGTAACATGTTCTGTCTGACCTGTGGCAGGTCTGTGTTTCAGGACGGTGTGTGGGGCTCCGTCCCTCAATGGGATTTTACAAACATTAAATACCAGAAACTACGTGTGCTATATTTACAATAATGTCCCAATATCTGTCACCTACGTTGAACAGTGTGTCCCCAGTCTACACCAATATAAAAATGCCAACACTACAGTGAAACATGGAAGCATGAAGAAGGGAAAGGACAAGGCACAACCATCTTCCTCCATCTTGTCCCCTTTGAACCCCTTCTCTAGAATCCTAAAATTCTACTTTTGCATCTGTGCCACACTAATTATTACTTATATCAAACACTCAGAGCTTGTAATTCATCCTGTAAGATTGAAAACTCTTTTCCATGGACAGAGATCAGAGACAGTGTCTCTTGGGACTCTGTCCAGGGGGGTTCCTGACCCCCTGCCAGGGTCCCAGGCCTTCCAGGGCAGCCAGAGGTATGCCCTGGATTCCCACAAGTAGCAGAACAAAGACTCTGAGAAATCAAATGGTTCAAGAAACTTCAAAATCTTCAATGGTTTTTTTAGTAAGTTCTAAATTGCTGTAGTAAGTTAATTTTACTAAATAACAGTGGTGCTTTCTCATGATTGTGCCCTGACAAAACCTGACTACTGCTAAATTTCGAGTTGCATCATAAAATCTTGGAATAATGACAAGCCTGGTTAAGGAAGGTAGCCATGTTCTGTGATTGTGATTCCATTTTCTGCTTGGCATGGAAATCTTGGAGCAACTGTGTAACCTGGGAAGGTATGTACCCACCTCCCCTGCTGCCCAAAAAAACCAAATGCCTGACCTGATACTTGCCCCTCTCCCACAGTTTCATAAAATAGCACAGATGGATGCGGGGGGGGCAACAATCTGGGGTGGCTTCCTACCTGCTCATGCAACTTTCTCCATTGCAGGAGTGGCTTACTGGAACAAAGTGTGGATTCACCAGGGAATGAGGTAGAAGGTAAAAAATGTGCTCTACACATCAGCCCTAATCAGTATACTGGTCTGCCATGCCAAGGAACACTGTGTAACTCCTGTTTAGACCAGGATGGCATTCATCTACTGCTTACACGGAAACTCATGTGTTTCATGGCTGTAGGCACATGACTCCATGTCCTAGCTGTTGTAGAGATGTATGGAAGGACATATTTCCTGCCCAAGTTGATCCATAAGTTGTATTGAGATATAGGCAGATGAAATTAAAGGCTGGAGAGAGGAAGGAAGTTGACAGAGAAGTTGGGATATTGATAGCTTGAAGTTTCACAGTTGATCTATAAAAAGAATTTTCTCCAAACCATTAGAAAAATAAGAAATTATAAGATGAGTTTGATCTTTGATTTTTGCCTTTATTAGGAAACTGGCTTTCCTTTTCCTTTCCCCTTTTCAAAATGGGGGTTTGGATGGTTGTGAGTCTATTCACCATTGTAACAGACAAATTCTAGGGAAAAGAAGGGCAGGAATAGTGTCTTGAAATAAATGTAAAGGAAATAATGAAGAAAATACTGTATCCTATGGTAGTGTCACTGCAGAGCTGATATGTGGACTGTCATGCAGAGAACAGCAAGACAGGAAGCAGCAATGTTGTCAGAAGATGTCTCTAGGGAGGTTTTCAAACTTCTTTTGATGTCTGGTCACAGAGGTTAAATAAGAAGAACATGATATGCACACAAATGTGTGTGGTACCTATGCATGTTTGTACAAGATGTAGTGCGTCCATTCAAAACATACATCTCTGGTTTTCAATGAGATCAGCTCTAAACCCCTCATTTGTCCAATATATAGGCCAGTTGTATAAGATTCATAGGAAAATGTCTTCTGGAGAACATAAGAAATGTGGACTGAATGGTTTTTAGAGATGTCATGGTTTATATCTAAAGAAACCCTGGGCAGATGAGAATTGACACACAGCAATTCTGAACGTACAGCTGGTTTCTGTAAATAGAGTCTGATTCCAATAGTTTTCATTCAGAAACAAAACAGGAGAGGGAAGATGTTTATCTCAAAACAAGCTAGAGCTGGGACACTCACCTATTACACAGAATGGTTTCCTCGCAAAGCGCAGTCTTCCTTGCCATCCTCGGTAGCGACAGCAGCACCCAGCAGACCAGATACGAATAATAAATTCCAAACCAAAGACAACAATCATGACAAATTCCTAGAAATGGCAAATAAAAAAATACATGTTACATATAACTGACACTTAAACATCAGGAAACTTATCACTTCTCTTTGTGTCTGACAATCCACCTTGAGCATCTGAATACCCCAAGCCCAACTTGGGATCCTCCTCCCCAGGATGGTTACACATCTACAAGCAGTACACAGTCCTCAGAGCTTCACAGTGAAAGGTCTAAGTCTAACCTGAATAACATTAAGTATCAGCTAAGATTGGCTACTAAATATTTTCAAACACTGAATAATACACAAAAATATCAGAGCAAAATATTAAAAAACTTTGGATATTGAGCATCAGAGCACAGGTAATTTATACAGCTAGTAAAAAATGTTCCATATTCACATCCATAAAATTAGTTCTTAGTTTAAAGGCTAAAAGTTTTGGGAGACATATTCTCATTGCTGCAATACACAGGTGAAGTAACTGAGATTTTGAATTTGGGAAATCAATCAGTTCCTAGCAGTAGGTTAAGGAACATGCAGGTGTAATTACATACAACGGTTATGCAATTGTTTGTGAGGCAATTAGTAAATGCCCACCCTAGGCATAACTTTCCCTGGACAACCTGTGAATGAAAGCACTTAGAAATTTTGTCTTGCTTGTTTGGCCTGCTTTTCTTTTTCATCGGAACCTTCTTTAAGACTGACTATTTTAAAAGCATCCACATGTATTTATGCAATTTTTATTCTAAATAATTTTCATTACAACCTTGAGATCAACAGAGTTGCAGTAATAGAGCTTGGAGCACAATTCATCTCCATACCCTAAGGAAATCTGCAGCTCAATAATATGCAGTGATATAGTACATATGTACTGTATGGAATTACAAACTTAGATACTCTTTTGGAATACCAGTTTTGAAATGAAAAAATAAAAATCCGTCTGTTCACAAAAGAAGACAAGTGCTTGGAGTTTCTTAAACAGCCCATCAAAAAGAAAAGGATGCAAGTTGTGTTTTATTTGGCAGCCCAATGTAATTCTGTATCCAGAAGTAACTTGTTCCTTGTCAGCCAATTAATTTGTTATTCCTGCAGGATGAGGACTGCTGTGGTACCACTAAGGAACTACTGCAAATGAATTAAGTAAAGGAATATTTGCAAGGGTAGGGTTGATGCAATATTGACTTTTCCCCAATAAACATTTTGCATGCTTTTAGACTGTAAGACCCTACAACTCTACAAGCCAGTGTGTCAAACTCAGGCATTAATTTACCTGAACAAATGGCATTATTAATGTTGTGCCACGTAATGGTTCTTTACAAGATTATAATTAGTGCAGTCCACTGAAACATTGGGGAACTAATTGCTTTTGCTGCCACAGAATAATTTGAAAACACAGTATTCCTTCCTAAAACATGTCAGCTTGTGTACCTACATTACATTGAAAGCACTTTTAGAGCCTTCTTCAGTGTCATTATTTTTGGTTTTGTAAATCCCATATTGAATGCCTAAGTCACAAAAGTAGAATGAGATCCCTCTGCTAAAGCGTGGCTGAAGAAAATGCCACAATTTTTATTAGAAAATAACATGGAAAAATGTGTGAGATTGTTTACGCTTTTCTTTTTATTCCACTACAAGAAACTTCAACTTAATTCCATGGGCAGTGTTATTACACAACTTAGAAAGGATTATGTACAAAACTGAAAAGGCTCCCCATATAGTAACAATAATTCCTAATAGTTGGCTATCCTGTGGTACATTTCCTTGTAGGAAATTCTGTGTAGGTCAAGAATAAAATGGACAGGAAGCCAACTGGACAAAAGGAAAAATACGCATTTTTGTCATTTAACTACCGCTTTTATAGTGGTAGTTAAATCATGAATTGTCAGATCTGGTTTACACATTGTTAGACGATGCCTCTGAATTTATGAGGGTTGATGGCAGGCATCCAGGCCATTCCTGCATCTGATTCTCCTAAGGAAGTTTCTTCCTTGGGATAGGGTAAAAGATACTGAAGGAAAGAAGGTCTGAGAAGCATGAAAAATTCTTTGCTTCCAATAAAATCCTTTTTTTGTTAAAACTTAATCACATTTCATTTGACTAAAGTTTGTTGTTTCTGGAAAACATATGGTGTGTACAGATGGGTGATGCACTTTGTAAATACAGAGAAATTGTCCCGGGCATCTTCCAGAAGCTGATCCACACACAGAGAACTGTGTCCTCTCCTGTACTCTAACCCTGGCAGGGCCTCTGATGGGGAGCTGGCAAGGACAAAAAGTACTTAATGATCCTGGAAGGACTAGTCCACAGCTTCAAGTCAGTTCAAATAGTATCACAAAACTGCTGGTAGGAGCTGGAAAGAGGTAATTTTTTTTGGAAGTTTACTCTTCTGGTTCCTACCAGTGCTAAGCAGTTTTGTATTTATCACCTGCAATATTGTTAGCCATTACTAGGTGCTATGCTTGCTCAGGGAGACAAAGATAAGAAAATTTATTGTGTGCTGAAAGCATGTTTCTGAGAGTCTGTGTACTCCATGGTGCCTTTGTGTGTTAGAGATAGAAATCAAATTTTCCTCTCACCCACAAACACTAAAGGAAAACAAAAAATATATACTAAATATACTGATATACTAAAAAGAGAAACTTTGTGGAGATAAATCTATTTTGAGAGAGAAAAAGAGCAAGAAAATATTTTCTCAATTTTTTTTTTTTTTTGGTGGGTGGAGTAAGAGTATAAGATTTTTCTTGTGGAAACAATGTGAAATATCTCTGTTTATTCCTTGAGAAAAGGTTACCATTTCTAGAACCATTAGAAATTTATGCATGGTTATAGTGTCTCAAAATTAACTAAGGTCTCTACTAAAGCAATTTTTTCTGCTACTTAAGCAATATAACAACTGTAGTTATATTGAGCTCAAATACAGTAAATTCCTCTCTGTGCACTGGGATGCTAAAAGAACTGCAGCTTTTAAAAATGCTATATACAATTTTCTACCACCCATAACAAGTTTCTGTAGATTTTTAAGTACACTATAAGTTTTAAAAAAAGGAAATACATTGAAGAAAATGTAGATGGGGTTTCACACTTACTTTTGCACTTACTGAAAAAGTGATGTTTCAAACTGATCTTTATATTCTAATGACTCCTACTTCCTCAAAGAAAAAGATGATCTTGAAGGGAATAAATCTAAAATCTAATAAAGTCTAAAGGGAAAGGATTTTCCAAAAAAACATAATGCATTGAAACAAAACTCTTCTAGTAGTACACACAACAGCTTTTGGTTCAGGTCAAAACCAGAGAGAGACAAAGAATTCCACACTACTGTGCAAAAAGTAATGTTTTAGTAGTCAGGGCACTCAGTCAAAATGTTAAGGCAAATCTCTGTCAGGGTTAATACAGGCTGGGGAATGATTATTTTTTTCTTATGGCAGCTGTAAAATTACTAGGTTTTGGTCTTCTGTGGACAAAAATTGGAAGCAGGCATCCAAAACAAGATCAGGATTTTTATGTTTTTATATTTCATTTGAAGGCTTATTGCCAACTTAATCATAAATCTAGGCTTTGAAATAACTTGGGTTTAGTTTCTTAGCAATTGAAACAGAAGATCAGAACATAATTGGAAAGGCATGTGATGGAATAAATCATTAGACTTCGTGCTTTGTGGACTTGAAGACTGAAGAAATGATACATTCCAAATATCTCTGTCCTACATATAAAATAATGGAATATCATTAATTTTGAATTACTTATGAGAATGAGAAACAACATTTACATCAGAATGGGAAAATCTTGCACTGTTTATAAATCTGGCCCTCTTCAAAATTAAGCAAGGCTGCATTTGAACTGAAGAGCAAGTTAGGATTTATTGTAAATCTAACCCTTTCCTTCCAAGGTAGAGCAGAGGTGCATTAGCCTTTGCCATTTCTTGCCTTTTCCCATCTTGTTATCCTTTTTCAATCACAGCTGCATTTGGCCTTACACCAGAGTTACCACAATCTGTCACTTTTTTGGCTGTCCAAGCTCACAGTTAGCACCTCCCAGTACCACTATGGCAGATGCATTGGTGGTTCAGACAGTGGAAAGTTTCTCTTTCTTCTCAAAGCACAATTCATCCAAACTGATGAGCTTTTCCTTCTGAAATGTTTTTTGCACTTACAGCTCCAGTTGTCATGGGGAACCGTGCACATGCAAGAGGAGCAAGGCTGGCACACTTGGGCTGACAGGTTCAGTTGCTTTTGGCTAGCAGTGTACTCCTGAAGATTTTTACATCTGTGTCTGCCTGGGTTATCACACCACTGGAACAACGAGGGTCACACAAATGGCAGGAAAAGAAAATAAGAGGTCACCCAGAGCAAGGTTTATGTTAATAAAAGCTCCTGGAGGACTCCAATCAACAGGGTTGATGATTAAGATAATCAAGCATACTTTGTACAATCCAGCACTCCACCCCGCTCTTTTTTAAACTCCTATCCAATTAGGATGTATGATTTGTAGAAGTTGTTTACATTAACATGCTTCTCAGGCAATTTTTAATGATAAGGATTTCCCTAAGCATAACATTTTAACAGGAAAAAAAATTTATATAAAGCTTTCTCACTCTTTAGCATAACTGCTTATTAAAACTGAAAATGATTTGCTGATGATGAATCAGGTGCCTTCACTGTAGACTGTAACTTTGGGGAATTAAAGCCATTTTTGCAATAAGAAAATGACCAAAGTTGAGTACCCTCTGCTGATCTAGGATGCTTCCGGTTATTTTTCAATGTGTAAAATGAGCTGAGGCTTGGATATAAAAAATTCACCCACAATACAATGTCTCTGTTCTTATTTTAATTATATTTCTTGTACAGAAATGCTTATTTTAATTATTCTAAAGGCTAATGAAGTAGGAAAACAGAGCTGCAGACTGATGTGAGGAGCTGCCTCTCTTGAGCTCACAGGAGAACTGTGTTTACAAATGATATTGCCAGAAGTTGGAGAAATGGACAAGAACAGACCAAATAAGCTTTAGCAGGACCACAAGTGTTTCCCTTCTGAAGA